CCTTCCTGAGTTTTATAGTGAGCTGAAGATTGCACGACTCACATGTGTCAGTGAACGCACCATGGCTCTGGGCTCACCATCTTCATCTGGACACTGGCCTGCTGCTGCTTCACAGGTTTCCACTCTCAGTGACATTGAACACAACAACAGTGCATTTTCTCTGTGTTTCTTCTCATCAATGTATATTGTTTTTTACAGGATGCAGTGGTCAGGTCACAGTCACTCAGCCTCCAGTCCAGATGTTTACTCCAGGATCCACCGTCACCCTCACATGTACAACTAACACAGATGTTTATGGCGATAATTACATGCACTGGTATCAGCAGAAACCTGGTCAGACTCCAAAGCTCTGGATAAAATATGCTACACAACGTCTGTCAGAAACTCCATCTCGGTTCAGTGGCAGTGGGAGTCACAGTGACTTCTCTTTGACCATCACTGGAGCTCAGGCTGAAGATGCAGCAGTTACTACTGTCAGAGTTACAAGCAGCGGTGGTTCACACAATGATTTCTGCCCGTACAAAAACCTCCCTCAGTGAGTCGTTCAGAGTGAGACCAGAGCAGGAAACAACTGCAGCTGCTCAAGAGGAACTCACATCACTGATCTGTGTGGAGTTACACCAAACATTCACCTTTATATTATTTTAATCTCTTAATCTGCATTTATCAGTCTCAGTTGCCTTTTGTTGGCAGAAGTAGAAAATGTTCATTGGGTCTGGAGGTAGACTTTATTTCAGAAAGCAGTCAACAACCCACCATTTCAACCCATCCAAACAATATTACATGTGGTCATCTTTATGTAATAACTTTAATTAGGGATTATGTAGCAGCATGATGAGAGTTAGACACTGACTGAGATCGGGTCAAAAGCATCTACTTTGTTAGAATGTGTATGGTTGAGAAAAAAAAAATTAAATTCAATCAAAAATTTAAAATTTTAAATAGTTACAAACTTGATTGGCAAGTTTAGCTGGTGTTAAATTTAAATATTGAATTAATGTATTTTTTACTAAATGATCAGAGAGATTCAAAGTTGCAAATATAAATTTAAATGTAGCCAAGTGCAGATTTCATTTTCAAACTCCACATGATTCACTGGACAAAAGACAAAATGTTTCTGATCAGCACAAGCTTTATTAGCACAAAACACAGTAACATGAAGCTGCAGAGTCACATGTTTATCCCTGAGCCTCCATGAGCTCAGTCAAACCCAGGGAGTGTCCCAGAGCAGGTGAAGTGTGTCCTCATGTGGACGTGTCTCACTGGGAGCAGGACAGTGACTCCAGGCTCTGAGTGACTGGGCTCTGTCCACTCCGATGGGCCTCACAGTCACTGATGTGTCTGTCCACTGCTCTGTGGACAGCCTCAGGACGCTGATGCGGCTGTAGAGGCCGTCCCCTCTCATCACCTCCGGGCTGTGGGACCCCTCTGTGGAGCTCCGCCCACTCTCCAGCCCAGCATCCAGTCAGAGGGGAAGCCCCCGCTGGCCACACACAGCAGCGAGGCACTGCCCCTCTGCAGCTCCTCTCTGGACGGGGGCAGGACGGTCAGGGTGGGGCTGTACTCCCACTGCACACAGACAGGGGCAGCACAACACAAGTAAAGCAATACATCAGAAAACAGTCAGTGCACAAAATGATGAAGACTAGAGACATTTACATTGTGTCTTTCACTTCCTGTTCACTGTAACTCTGACCAGCGAACCGTGGACGACTGATATTATACTCATAAAAACTATTAAAAGTAATGTTGATTTTTTAACATGTACATTTTTAGGGATCACTTGAACTGGGCTGATTTTATTTTTATTTTATTTTTATTACTAATGCTTTATAAATGTACAAGACTTAAATAAATAAGGAGGCCATTCATACACTCAATAGAAATCACTTTAATTTAAAACATGAATAAAAAAAAATACAAAACTCATAAATAATAATCATAATAAAAACTATGAAAAATTCCGTAAATTAATTATATTTATTTTGTTTTTTTATCATATCAACATTCTGAAAAATAATCTAGATTTTGATAGAAAAGATAATTAGTATTTTTAGAGCACTTGTTTCTTTAGCTTTGACCTATACAACTGTAACTATAGAATAAAAAATAAAGAAAATTCACCAGCCTTCATGACAAATGACCAATCCTACTAAAAATACCAGTAATAAAGTAGTCCTGATAAATTATAAAGTAAAAAGTACTCACAGTCCACGATGAGTTGTGTTCCTCCTCCAAACGTGTACCACAGTGATACAAAGTAATGAAGAGGCCGTACAAAAACCTCTGCTCTGTTCTCCTCCACACACTGCTCTCACTTCACTCACAACATTCACTCACCTTTTACTATTTCTAACATTATATCATCCATTTTTGCAACCTGTACATATTCTACTTTGGACAATTGAAAACATGAAGAAAATGTGTAAATGTTTTATTTTTTTAAATGTATTTTTTTTGTTTTTTGATCATTTATATTGGCTGTTTGAGTATTATCTCCAGACATGTTTTATTTTCTGTGCTTTAAACTCACATGTGAATCAAGAAATTACTTACATTTTTGTCCAGTTGTTTTTATTGCAAAACCTTTTACATGAATTGTGTACAGAGCTGACAGTAGTAAGTTTAATAATACAGTGAAGTGCTAATGTTGTCTTTAAGGTGCAGTACTTTTAATTACTGATGTGACTAGTGTGACTGCTTCATACTTCATACTATACTTATGTCCGACAAAAAAGTGTTGTTGACATGTGTGTATTTCAAATGATTCCAATAGGATTAATACATGTGGGTTCAGTGTAGAGTTGAGTACAGAGACAGTATTTCCATAGAGAGGAGGGTCACATGGTCAGCTGATCCTTCCTGAGTTTTATAGTGAGCTGAAGACTGCACCACTCACATGTGTCAGTGAACGCACCATGGCTCTGGGCTGCACCATCCTCATCTGGACACTGGCCTGCTGCTGCTTCACAGGTTCCACTCTCAGTGACATTGAACACATCACACTGCCTTTTCTCTCTGTGTTTCTTCTCATCAAATGTATATTGTTTTTTACAGGATGCAGTGGTCAGGTCACAGTCACTCAGCCTCCAGTCCAGATGTTTACTCCAGGATCCACAGTCACTCTCACATGTAAAACTAACAAAGATGTTTATAGCAATGACCATGCACTGGTATCAGCAGAAACCTGGTCAGACTCCAAAGCTCTGGATAAAATTGCAACACAACGTCTGTCAGAAACTCCATCTCGGTTCAGTGGCAGTGGGAGTCACAGTGACTTCTCTTTGACCATCACTGGAGTTCAGGCTGAAGATGCAGCAGTTTATTACTGTCAGAGTGTTCATAACAACCCATGGAGATTCACACAGTGATTTGTGCTCGTACAAAAACCTCCCTCAGTGAGTCGTTCAGAGTGACACCAGAGCAGGAAACAACTGCAGCTGCTCAAGAGGAACTCACATCACTGATCTGTGTAGAGTTACACCAAACATTCATTTCTACATTATTTTAATCTATTATTTTTTTAGTTTAATGGTTTTTGTTGGCAGAAGTGTGAACTGTTCTTTTGGCTCTGCATAGTTACACTTTATCTCAGATAGGAGTCACCATCACCATCCATTCACCAGTTCAACCTGTTTTACATTTATGTTTTCATCTTCATGTATTAATCATCATTTGGGGTTAAGTAGCAGGGAATAATGAGAGTTCAGCACTTAGTTGTAATGAAAACATGTCAAAAGTGTCTGCTTTTGTTAGATAGTGTGTGGGAAAGTAGACTCTAGCATGACATTAAATACTAACCAAACATTTTGAATCTAAAATTATTACAAACAATGCTGACAGTTTATGCTGGTGTTTGAATGTCAGTATTAAATATTGATGTATTCTTTTCAGTTTAATAATAATACTTCAAAGTTTTGGATCTTATCTTAAAAGTAGCCAAGTGTAAATACAGACATCACGTTCCATCCTCCACATGATTCACTGGATAAAAGATCAAATGTTTTGATCATTTAGACTTAGACAAACTTTATTGATCCACAAGGGAAATTGTTTGGACTCAGTAGCTCACACATCACCTATTTTTTTGTTTCTTTTTTTTAGATACACCTTCATTTTCAGACAACTCCTCTTTGAAAATAAATCATATTATTAATTCAAATGAAAAATCCAAATTAAAGCATCTTCTCATTATTTCTCCACAAACATGATGTCATATTCATTCCTTCTGTTCACAGTGTTAATTGGTCCTATTCCAACATGCATTACTGATTTGCCATTGATATATTCCATCAAAAAGGGGCACTATACCGTAAGAGCTGTCAACACAAACATGACAAGTCAGTCTGAAAATCCTCTCTCATGTTGAAACCTAATGCAAATCATTTTAGAGAACTGTCATCTTTCAAATTATCAGTTGTCCTTAATTTAGCATCTAATCTCCTTCTGTTTCACTTGGACAGATGTATGCAAATGATGTTTCTATTTCCAAACACACAAGCAGGTTAAAGTTCACATGGTCAGCTGATCATTCCTGAGTTTTATAGTGAGCTGAAGACTGCACGACTCACATGTGTCAGTGAACGCACCATGGCTCTGGGCTGCACCATCCTCATCTGGACACTGGCCTGCTCCATCAGAAAAGCTACACAGTGCACTTTTATAGTTGATTTATTTCATGAGACAGGGACAGTGCACAATCAACATTAACCTGAACAGGAGAGATGTGTTGTACCAGGTTATAGCACCAGAGCTAATTTCCATCTGCAGTCATTGGGCAGGTTCATTCATTGATTGTATTTAATGTTTTTACAGTTTTAATATCAAAATAAGCAGAGACATCACATTTCACACAGGCTCATAGGACAAAAGACAGTCCACTTGTTGTCATGTAACACAAGCTTTATTAGCCCTCCTGCTCTGACCAAAAGCCACACTCTACATCTAACTCTTATTGCAGTTGTGGGTGGGGTCCATGTTCAGGGCCCATGCAGCTCTAAGCACTGGCTCCTCTGCAGTGACTGGACCTGGGTGTGTCCGTGGTGGTGGACCCTGCAGGAGAACAGCTGTCCCTGCAGCCAGCCGTCCTCAGTCAGGCTCAGGAGGCTGCTGCTGCTGTACAGGCCGCTCTTCTCCTGCTCCACACTGCTCTGAGCCGCCCCTGTGGGAGCACAGTTGAAGCAAGACTTATTCAGCAAGCAATTCATGGAAGAACAACATATCCTCTATGGAGAAGGATTTCAAACACAAAACTTAAGGCTATTTTATTATATTAATTCATGGGTTATTCATATTGTCATTCAAAAGATACAGTATTTAGTTTTAAATTATTAAACTCTATGGCCATAGTGATAATTTTTCATGTTGGTTTGGTAAAATGACATGAACAATATACATTTTCATTTGATTTCTTTAGATTATTGACGTCAACTTGTCGCTACAAATTTCAGACTGAAATCAATACTTATTTTTCTCATGTTATTTGATATTTAGTAGAAAATAATACATTTAATTGTCTTACTCTAGTTTGTTTTGCTTTAAAAATGTTTACATATATTAAATTCAAAACCAATGTCCTACTATAAATCAAACTTCAAAAGCACATGTCTTTTTACTGTGCTAAAATAATAAAAATACACTCTAAATTTATCCCGTGGTTCCATTTACCTCAATTTGAGTAAAAATATTTGTAAATGAAGTAAATATATTCTTTCTTTCACCAGTCTAGTTCCATTTGGTTTGTGATGAGTGCAGTTTTTGTCTTGTACCTGTGTCTGTGAGCTCCTGTCCGTCCACCTCCCAGCTCACACTGGCGCCCTGTGGAGAGTAGGCGCTGAGCAGGCAGAGCAGAGAGAGTCTCCCCCCAGAGAGCTGCTGCAGAGAGGGGCCCAGGAGCGAGACAGAGGGGGGGCGCACCGGACCACCTGGACACAACAGGGAAAATACTCACCACATGTCTTCATGATCATCTGGAATATTTCAACTATTTACATTCATTTACATGATTTTACTTCTACAGACAAATGGTTCTCAAACTGTGGTGCAGGCTCCACTGGAGGAACATGGGTCAATTCTAATGTGTTTATTGGGTTGAGCAAGTTTGAATGTAGTCCTGGTTAAGTGTGTTTAGATCTGGTGGAACTCAGAAAGTGAAATATTGAAACTTTCTAATCATAACAAACAGGTCTGATCAATATGCTCTGGCAAAAATAAAGAACAAGTGTGTGCATAGAACAATTTACAATCTTAACACAAAGAGGGAAAAGCAACAAAATAATAATTTCAAATGATTTAAAATAAAATACATTTCGATCAGCTATATTTTCTCATAGAATTACAATATTTGAAATGCCTCCTTTTTTCACCTTTGTCTCTTGTATTTTAGACTGTCTGAAGAACAGCACAAAATTTATACTATGTTCTATGATGAAGTCTTTATTTTCATTATGAAGTTTTAAGATGTATTTTGGTGGAAACAAGACAGCTGTTTGTTTCACTTCCTTTAAACTAGATTTGATCGTAAACGTGCAGTGAATATTTTTTGGTTTTAACATATTATTGTTAAAGTTAATAGACGGAGTATTCAAGAGAAATTAGAGTAAAATATACAGGATTTTTAAAAGTGGTATAAAGATTTTCAATTACTCTTTATAAATTTATTTTTTTTTTTTTCCACAAACTATTTTAAGATTCAGAGTTTCCCATAAATCTGAGTCAAAAAAGACAAACAAAACAACAAACTTAAATTTAAAGCATTATGTTATATAATATTTAAGTTCTAATGTCTAATGTTGAAGTGAAAATTTGAGAAGATTACTTACTGTGAATGATGAGTTGTGTTCCTCCTCCAAACGTCCACCACAGTGATACAAAGTGATGAAGAGGCCGTACAAAAACCTCTGCTCTGTTCTCCTCCACACACTGCTCTCACTTCACTCACAACATTCACTCACCTTTTACTATTTCTAACATTATATCATCCATTTATTCAACCTGTACATGTTCTACTTTGAACATGATTGAAAACATGAAGAAAATTGAAAAATGTAATATTTTTTTTTTTTAAAGTAATTATTATTATTATTTTCTCAAGCATTCATATTACTTTTTGTAGTTGGTGAGTATTATCTCCAGACATGTTTTAATTATTATGCATTAAACTCACTGTGAATCAAAAAAATGTGATGTGACATTTTGTATAATAGAATAATTAGCTACAGTTTGACCTTTTGCATGAATTGTGTACAGAGCTGACAGTAGTAAGTGTTTAATAATACAGTGAAGTGCTAATGTTGTCTTTAAGGTGCAGTACTTTTAATTAATGATGTGACTAGTGTGACTGCTTCATACTTCATACTTATGTCTGACAAAAAAAGTGTTGTTGACATGTGTGTATTTCAAATGATTCCAATAGGATTAATACATGTGGGTTCAGTGTAGAGTTGAGTACAGAGACAGTATTTCCATAGAGAGGAGGGTCACATGGTCAGCTGATCCTTCCTGAGTTTTATAGTGAGCTGAAGACTGCACCACTCACATGTGTCAGTGAACGCACCATGGCTCTGGGCTGCACCATCCTCATCTGGACACTGGCCTGCTGCTGCTTCACAGGTTCCACTCTCAGTGACATTGAACACAACACACTGCCTTTTCTCTCTGTGTTTCTTCTCATCAATGTATATTGTTTTTTACAGGATGCAGTGGTCAGGTCACAGTCACTCAACCTCCAGTCCAGATGTTTACTCCAGGATCCACCGTCACTCTCACATGTAAAACTAACAAAGATGTTTATAGTAATTCTAATGGTTGGTTCATGCACTGGTATCAGCAGAAACCTGGTCAGACTCCAAAGCTCTGGATAAAAATATGCAACACAACGTCTGTCAGAAACTCCATCTCGGTTCAGTGGCAGTGGGAGTCACAGTGACTTCTCTTTGACCATCACTGGAGTTCAGGCTGAAGATGCAGCAGTTTATTACTGTCAGAGTTTCATCATAGCGGTGTGTTCACACAGTGATTTGTGCTCGTACAAAAACCTCCCTCAGTGAGTCGTTCAGAGTGAGACCAGAGCAGGAAACAACTGCAGCTGCTCAAGAGGAACTCACATCACTGATCTGTGTGTAGTTACACCAAACATTCACCTTTATATTATTTTAATCTCTTAATCTGCATTTATCAGTCTCAATTGCCTCATGTTGGCAGAAGTAGAAAATGTTCATTTGGGTCTGGAGGTAGACTTTATCTCAGAAAGCATTCACCATCACAACCAACCCACCAGTTCAACCCATCCAAATAATATTAAATATGTTCATCTTTATGTAATAACCTTAATTTGGGATTTTGTAGCAGGAAATGATGAGAGTTTACACACTTACTGAGATCAGGTCAAAAGCATCTACTTTGTTAGAATGTGTATGGTTGAAAAAAAAAAAAAAACACATTAAATTCAATCAAATGAAAAATTTAAAATTTTAAAATAGTTACAAACTTGATTGGTAAGTTTGGCTGTTGTTTGAATTTAAATATTGAATATTAATGTATTTGCTTTACTAAATGATCAGAGAGATTCAAAGTTACAGATATAAATTTAAATGTAGCCAAGTGCAGATTTCATGTTTCATACTCCACATGATTCACTGCACTTTGTTAGAATGTGTTTGGGTGAGAGGGAAAAAAGACATTACATAAAAATCTAATCAAACATTTAAAATTAAAAATAGTTACAAACTTGATTGGTAAGTTTAGCTGGTGTTTGAATTTTAATATTGAATATTAATGTAGTTGTTTTTACTAAATAATCAGAGATTCAAAGTTGCAAATGTAAATTTAAATGTAGCCAAGTGCAGATTTCATGTTTCATACTCCACATGATTCACTGGACAAAAGACAAAATGTTTTGATCAGCACAAGCTTTATTAGCACAAAACACAGTAACATGAAGCTGCAGAGTCACATGTTTATCCCTGAGCCTCCATCAGCTCAGTCAAACCCAGGGAGTGTCCCATAGAGCAGGTGAAGTGTGTCCTCATGTGGACGTGTCTCACTGGGAGCAGGACAGTGACTCCAGGCTCTGAGTGACTGGGCTCTGTCCACTCCGATGGGCCTCACAGATCACTGATGTGTCTGTCCACTGCTCTGTGGACAGCCTCAGGACGCTGATGCGGCTGTAGAGGCCGTCCCCTCTCATCACCTCCGGGCTGTGGGACCCCTCTGTGGAAGCTCCGCCCACTCTCCAGCCCAGCGTCCAATCAGAGGGGAAGCCCCCGCTGGCCACACACAGCAGCGAGGCACTGCCCCTCAGCAGCTCCTCTCTGGACGGGGGCAGGACGGTCAGGGCGGGCCGCTGTACTCCCACTGCACACAGACAGGGGGCAGCACAACACAGTGTTAAAGCAACACATCAGAAAACAGTCAGTGCACAAAATGATGAAGACTAGAGACATTTACATCTGTGTCTTTCACTTCCTGTTCACTGTAAGTCTGACCAACGAACCGTGGACGACTGATATTATACTCATAAAAACTGTTAGAAGTAATGTTGATTTTTTTTTTTTTTAACTCATTAACACATTTCAGTACTTTTTTTTTTTTCAGATTCAGTTTAATAAAGAAATATCAAAAAGAAAAATATTTTTATTTAGAAAGGATTAATTGTATTACTAATGCTTTAAGCTCATGTCACTCTGACAGACTAAATAAACGATAGTGTTTTAGGAGGGCCATTTTATTTTAGATTAATACCCACACTCAAATAGAAAATCTCTTGCAACTTCAGTAATAAATAAATAAATACAAATGTAGTATTTTTTTCTATATATATATATATATATATATATATATATATATATATATATATATATATATATATATATATATATATATATATATAATTCATAATAAAAACATATTTAAGAAATAACTGAATTAATTTAATTAATGATTTATTTTCAAAATATTTTTCTGAACAATATTTCTTTATGTGTCATTCTGAAAAATAATCTAGAATTTTGATAGAAAAGATACACTTAGTATTTTTAGAGCACTGTTTCTTTAGCTTTGATCTACACAAAAATAAATAAAGATTATACAAAGAAAATCACCAATTCATGATAAATGACCAAAATTCTACTAAAATACCAGTAATAAAGTAGACCTGATAAATTAGAAAGTAAAAAGTACTCACAGTCCACGATGAGTTGTGTTCCTCCTCCAAACGTCCACCACAGTGATACAAAGTAATGAAGAGGCCGTACAAAAACCTCTGCTCTGTTCTCCTCCACACACTGCTCTCACTTCACTCTCAACATTCACTCACCTTTTACTATTTCTAACATTATATCATCCATTTATTCAAACTGTACATATTCTACTTTGGACGATTGAAAACATGAAGGAAACTGAAAAAGTTGTATATTTTTTTAAAGGTATTATTTTTTTCAGTTTTATTTGATCATTTCTGGCATTCATATTACTTGCTGTAGTTGGTGAGTATTATCTCCAGACATGTTTTATTTTCTGTGCTTTAAACTCACAGTGAATCAACAAATGGGATGTGATATTTTGTATAATAGAATAATTAGTTACAGTTTGCCCAGTTGGTTTTATTCCAATACCTTTTACATGAATTGTGTACAGAGCTGACAGTAGTAAGTTTAATAATACAGTGAAGTGCTTTTGTCTTTAAGGTGCAGTACTTTTAATTACTGATGTGACTAGTGTGACTGCTTCATACTTCATACTTCATACTATACTTATGTCCAACTAAAAAGTGTTGTTGACATGTTTGTATTTAAAATGATTTGAATAGGATTAATACATGTAGGTTCAGTGTAGAGTTGAGTTTACTTGAGGTTGGGACAATTAGCATTAATAGAGAACATTTGTCATGAAATGTTTTTTATATCTTCACTTACATGGGCATTGATCTAATGCAGCAATGAAGTTATAAGTTATAAAATACAGTTATTAAAAACAAATGTCCTGACATAAATTCATGATCCCTTTCCATGTGAGTGGTAAGTATATTACAAACATTTACATACACATATGTCAACAAGAACAGTTACAAGTTACTTACGCCACAAATTTTATGTACTCTAATGTATTTGAGACTTTAAAGGTGCACTGTGTAACTTTTTGGTTGAGGGTCCATTACCTGCTTGTTTCTATGGATTATTATTGACATCAAACTGTCACTACAAATCTCAGACTGCATTCAATACTTATTTTTGTTATTATATTATTTGGTAATTTAGTGGAAATATTTAATACATTTTTTTTTTTTTACTCCAGTTTAGTTCACTATCTTTCAAAATATTTATATTATTTTGAAAACATATATAAAATATGCAATTATTAATGAAAATTCAAAAACACCTCTCTTTTTATGGAAATATTACAAATTCACAGTATATTTTTCCCATGGTACCTCTATTTGAGTAAAAATATTTGTAAATGAAGTAAATATATTATTTTTTTCACCAGTCTAGTTCCACTTGGTTTGTGATGAGTGTAGTTTTTGTCTTGTGTACCTTGAGCTCTTGTCTATCCACCTCCCAGCTCACACTGGTGTCCTGTGGAGAGTCGGCGCTGAGCAGCTGAGCTTTTCAGTTGGGTTTCATTGCTCTACTTCTTCAAATGTTCCACAGTGTGACATTAAACAGATCTACCTCACATTTATTCAATTACAGGGGTTTTATTGCTCAGAAATACCTAGACAAACAGGCATTCTGACCATGAGCGGGATTGCCTCTCCCCAGACCTGACCAGTAACTTGGCCTAGTTTGGTCTCCATGAAGATACAAAGGTTTAAAGCCATACTGTGGCTGCAGGGAAAGCAATATTATGAGAAAAAACAGGTGACAGTCTCTCCACCAGAAAAGTTACACAATGCACCTTTAATTCCTTGCTTATATAAAAAATACAAAGATACTACACACTTGCTTTTATATCTTATTCTCATATTTTCTGTACAGATTGATCCAAACAGTACAGTCATATTTTAGCCTGCGGTGACAAAGCAACAAAATCCCTGCTCCACAAACATGACGTCATATTCAGTCCTTTTGTTCACAATGTTAGAGCCTATTGCAATTTACACTTACAGACTTCCTGTTAATATGGTCCATCAAAAGAGGGAGCGATACTGTAAGAGCTGTCAACACAAAGATGACACTTCAGTGTGAAAATCCCCGATTTCTGTATCTTGAAACCTAATGCAAACTAACATAAGAGATCTGAGGATATCAGTGATGTTTAATTTAGCCAAGTCATCTTCTGTTCCCCTTGGAATGAATTGATGCAAATAATGTTCCTACTTTCAAATGCACAAGCAGGTTAAAGGTCACATGGTCAGCTGATCCTTCCTGAGTTTTATAGTGAGCTGAAGACTGCACAACTCATATGTGTCAGTGGACGCACCATGACTCTGGGCTGCACCATCCTCATCTGGACACTGGCCTGCTGCTGCTTCACAGGTTCCACTCTCAGTGACATTGAACACAACACACTGCCTTTTCTCTCTGTGTTTCTTCTCATAAATGTATATTGTTTTTTACAGGATGCAGTGGTCAGGTCACAGTCACTCAACCTCCAGTCCAGACAGTTACTGCAGGATCCACAGTCACTCTCACATGTAAAACTAACAAAGATGTTCATGTTAATACTTACATGTTCTGGTATCAGCAGAAAACTGGTCAGACTCCAGACCTCTTGATAAAATATGCAACACAACGTCTGTCAGAAACTCCATCTCGGTTCAGTGGCAGTGGGAGTCACAGAGATTTCTCTTTGACCATCACTGGAGCTCAGGCTGAAGATGCAGCAGTTTATTACTGTCAGAGTTTACACAGCGCCCCATGGCAGTTCACACAGTGATTTGTGCTCGTACAAAAACCTCCCTCAGTGAGTCATTCAGAGTGAGACCAGAGCAGGAAACAACTGCAGCTGCTCAAGAGGAACTCACATTACTTTATAGAGTCAAAAAAATCTTAAATTACACCACCCCTTTATTCACATTGAACTGCATTGATCCATTCTTATATTGCCACAGAACACATCTTCTCATCTTGTCCTTTATCACCAAAAATCCCAAGGTAATTTCCAAACATAATAGTCTTTACGTCCCCACAGCAAATAAGACAGGGCTTAGTGCACATCCCTGAAATCCATCTTTACTCCTGTGCATGTTTACTTAGTAAAGATATCTATTTTTCTGTCATCAAATTACCACTGTAGGTCAGAGGTACAGCTGCAGCAATGATTTGTGTTGACTGCACTGATCCAACAGAGAGAGCTTTAGCCCATCTTACTAGCTCATATGAGACTTTATAATATGTATAGTATCACTGTTTTGTTTTGATATTATTATTTTATCTTGTTTGGCACATGTTAACAGTTGTAATTGCATTTGAAGAATCGATAACAAACCAGAACCAGAATTTTGTGTGACTCAAATAGTAAAGGGCTTATATTCCACTGAGTTTTATTTTGTTTCATTCACATTTTTTTCAAACACAAACCCTGTATATTTAGGCATAGTTCTTTTCTTAAACAGAAAACACTCTGTTCCACCTTGTGATATCATGGGGAAATATAAAAAGTGCTCCACTGTGTTTTAAACTCCTTACACTTTCACTAGAATTATTTGGATCATTTCAGCAATGGAATTGTCAGTCTCCACTGAACAAAAGGTAAAAGGTACCTCTTAAATTGTTTTGGAGCTTTGGAGATGTAGGCAGACTAAAAGCAAAGGGTTACTCAAGCATGTGAATGAAACAAAACACAACTTTTTGATATTGTAACAACATTTTAGCATGCCTTAAAGCTCACATGAGTCCATTTTGTAACATAGAACCTTTAAATTCAAGTTTTCCCTTTTCTGACAACAACATAAAATCTAATCTTTGTCAATTTACTTTTCTGAATAACAAATGCAACCATAAATAAATAGCATTAAACAGCATGTATTGCCCTACATTCAAGGACAACCGTCTCCTCTGTTGTAAACTCACACTGACTGTACTCTTGTAAGACCAGTGTCCAGTCCACACAGTGATGTTCAAGGTTTTAGGTCAGTTAAACCCTTGACGTTTGCAGGGACTTGGCAACAACTCACCTGACCCGGATCAAACAAGTCAATGAGGTAAGTTACCACCAGAGAGCACCACAGTGACGTCTAATGCTCTGACCTTTGACCCCAATCATCCCTGTCCTGCAAACACTCATCCAACCCAAGACATTACTGGTTGAAATCCTTTAATCTTGAAATGAAGTTATATTAAATTAAACAAAATACAATAGCATGATACTGTGCAATAGAAAGTATTTATTTACTTTTCACTTCCTGTGTAATTCCGCATTAGTCTTGAGGTGGTAGAAAGGGCAATTGAACAATGTGTTAGAAATTGGGATGTTTCAATATTTTGCTGTATAAATTCTAGTTTCACCTGACAAGTATGTTCAAAATATAAATTACTTCAAGATCAGGTTCAGGTGACTTTATTTGTATGTGTAGGTAAATTTATTTTTCACGTTTGGCATAAATACACATTAAGACAACACACACACATAATCAAACATTCACATTGGCTTAGATTCACAATCTAATAAATACAGTAAAAATATAAAAACAAAAGAATGGCAGTCAAAACATACTTGATTTCCAAAACATTGTCCAGCTGACTATGTTTGAAACCTTTTCTACATTTTTTCTCATTAGTAAGTTAAACTGGCATCACTTCAACACACCAAAATCAATTTATAGTTTGACCATCATGAATTACTTCACACAACACGAATGTCTTGCCCAAGGACACAGTGACCAAAGGAACAAATGAACTAAAATTGAGTCACTAACCTTCAACATTAGGCAATTGTTAGAATCTTTGACAATAAGAGATACTTCCAAAAATGAGTTTACGTCATTTTTAGGTGCATTTAGTTGCTGTTGTTTGATGGTGTAGTTCTCAATCATAACAGTACAGCAGCCCTCACTAATTACTGTCTGTCCAAGGGGCAAAAGGTCAGACAACTTTGTGAATGGGAGGAGTTGGAAGAGTGTAGTAACAATGACCGAGACTGACCAGCGGTGATGCTTCGTTAAGCCAATTTGTTAGTTCTGGATAGGCTTAATCCTTTTACTGGGAATGCGTTATCCAACTCTTCCTTCGTTTTCACCTTTCCCTATCCTCACTTCAGACTGACCAAGCTCAATGTTAAGCCACACACGCATTTGAAAATAGTTGTTCTTTTTTATTTTTTGGAACCTTTTATTTATTACAGGCAAACTTTGAAATTCAAACTATTAATATTTTTATTTTTTGTTTTATTTTTTTTTTCCTGTGTGCTAGGATAGCAGATCAAAATGGGTATCCTGGGGAGTACCTTCAAGACCTTTGTGCCTTTGAAAATGAGGGAGTATATTAAAGATTACAGCAAGAGGAATGGCCTCCTAACGCTGTCCGTGTTTGCGGTGGTCACCGGCTGTGTCCTGGGCTTCTTCCTCCGTTCCCTCAACCTCTCCACTCAGGTAAGACAGAAGGGATGTAATGCAACCATGTAAAGTATAGACAAAGGCAATAGAGCAGAGTTTATGGTGTTAAAATGTGCACAGCATTAATTTGACTATATGTCCTAGAGTTAAGATATACTAGTATTTCAAGTAATCTCTAACATCACTGTTTTCTTTTACATAGTTGGTACACATATAAGTTAAAAAGCAATGGCAGGCTTCTCACAGACTTATAACGCACTTAATAAAACTGTAACCTCTGAAAAAGCAAAATCACAGTAACAACAAGTTAAAGTTTTAGAGCAGCACATTACCATATGTAAGGAAGGTATCTTAATGTTAAAGCAATGGAGATTCTAAGATATTAAATATTATGACTCTATAGTGTAATAAACCCAGGAGTTAATTGGGTTGTTGCACAGCTCTTTTTTTTTCTTTCTTACTTTTAATGTTGTTTTGTTATTGCATCTCTGTACAGTTTGCATGTCTGTACACATACATGGTGGATCTCAGACTCCATTGGACATGCAAACTGATCACTACTAGAGGCAATCATTAACATTTTATACATATATCCTAATATATTGTGGTTAAGTTATTTTGAGATGCATTATATGGGGAATTTGGCTTTTGTTTGCATGAGAAACTAGCAAGAGCAAATACTACTATGGTGACAGGTTTTGTTTTATTCATTTGGTTTCTTTTTCATTTTGGCACATAACTCATAACCTACAAATGATCTCCTGTATTAAAGTTGTCCAAACCATGATTATGAATGCCAGTCTGCACTGTTGCAATATTTTACCTTTGATGTAATATTTTTTATTTAACCTTTCCCAGGCCAAGATCTACTTCTCTTTCCCCGGAGAGCTGCTCATGAGGATGTTAAAGATGTTGATTCTGCCTCTCATCACCTCCAGGTCAGCAACACCATGCTGAACTGAATTGAAAATGATAATTAAGTAACAGCAAAGATAATTTTTTCAAAGCTGGAATTGCATAAATAAACTAAAGATATCTTTGGGTCTACAAATTTGATTAACTTACAAAATTAAAAACCTATCTGTCTATGTTTACTTATTATCGTATGTTAACAAATGCTGCCAGTTTACTTTCAACTACTAAACTATAACAAGTCTAATAACCTGCATTTGTAACAGGTACATGCACATGTCCTGGATAAATGTAACAAAAAATATTAGTTTAGAACATGGAAAATACTCATGATGAAAGATTAGAGCTGTTTCCATTGCAATTACAGTTCTAACCACACCAGTTCTTTGGTTATCATTCACGAACCAAGAAGTAATGCTTGTTTAGATGCTATTTGTTGTTACCATTACTGTGATGGGAAAGTTGTGAAACAGCTCATAAACTCATTTCGGTGAATAATCAGGACAGAAATGCGTTAAGAAAGTGAGGAAAAAGTTTGGATCTCAGACTACAGTATATTCTCTTTTATGTTATAATGCTGTTTCCTTATCACAAACATATCTGGAGTTGTGTTTTGTTTTATTCACACATGTTTAACACACAAACCCTGTATATTTAGATAAAATTTGTTCTTTTCTTAAACAGAAAACACTCTGTTTCACCCTGTGATGTCATGTAGTAGTACGGGAAGTGCTCCATTGTGTTTTTAAACTCCATACACCTTCACTAGAATCATTTGGATTATTTCAGGCCTGGATTTACCAAACTCTACACTTACTAAAGGTAAAGGTCACTGTTAATTTGAAAACTACTGCTTCATGACATCACAAGGTGGAACAGAGAATTTTGAGCTCTGGAGATATAGACAGATAATAAAGGTTATTCAAACATGTGTGCATGAAATAAAACACAACTCCAGGCATGTTTTTGAGGAAGTAACAGGATTATAACATGGCAGAAATCTCAAAAGAGTCCATTTTGTCTAATATCGGCCCTTTAATTATTGTATCTCGTGCAGCCTTATGTCGGGTCTCTCAGCCATGGACACCAAAGCCAGTGGTCGTCTGGGGGTCCTTACCATCACGTATTACCTGTGGACCACCTTCATCGCAGTGATTGTGGGGATCATTCTGGTGCTCATCATTCACCCCGGGACAGGCTCAGAGAAGGAGAACCACCACGCCCACTCCGGCCCAGTCATGACGTCTGCGGACGCACTGCTCGACCTCATCAGGTGAAGGCCCACAGCCCTACAAATCATTTACAAGAGAAGTTGTAAAAAAAAATGTAATTGAAAAAAGGTGTGACACTACAGCTTAAGAGAAAAAAATAGAACTATATCATTTTGAATCTTTTTTGTCGCTAAGGAAATAATATACATTCTGGGAAAAAAATAAGGCATTTTATTTGAAATGCCAAGATTTCACTCTGGATAACTTCTGGTCTCGGTGTAAGGAAAAAAGATTTTAAGAACACAGCCTTTGAAAATCTTATTTTCTATATAAATGGCGAGGAGAAAATTCAGTTTGTCGACTGGACAAAAGTTAGTTTGGTGGTGAATTGTGGTCTACTCCATTCAGTGCAGTGAAGACTGCAGTGAACGTTACATTGGAGAAACTAAACAGCTACTTCACAAGAGGATGTACCAACACAGACGAGAGAGCAGCAGTGGACCTCAGTCTTCTGTACATCTCCACTTAAAAGCCACGGTTCACTAATTTGAGGACAGCAAGCTACAGATTTTAGCCAGAGAAAATAATTGGTTTGAGAGGGGAGTGAAATAAGCCATTTTTGTTAAGAAATAGAATCCTTATCTAAACAGAAATGAAGGACTCAGACACCATCTATCTTCTATTTACAACTCCATCCTCAAACCTAAATCAAAACAAACAAGAGAACAACAGGTGTCGCCAGGTCAGGTCCAGAAGTGTGGAAGCTCCATTATGGCCCTGAATTGTTATGCAAATTAGACCCCACACCCTGTACAGGTCAATAGGCTGGACTAACAAACAGAAACTGTAAACAAGTAGGTGTGTTAGTTTCAGTTAGTTAGCTCCTCCCTGCAGATATAAGGAAGTGTCCACCAGTGTCTGACCAGAACTGAAGAAGTAGCTTGGATGAGCTGTAAAACGTCTTCAACCCAACTAACTTTTGTCCAGTCGACAAACTGAATTTTCTCCTCGCCATGGATTCTACCTGGACGACTGAGGGATTCTTCTCATTTCTATATAAATGTATGAATGGAACATTCTGTGAAATATTAAAACGCTCAGTCTTTGCAGACTGGATAATGTCTTGTTTTGAAGTGAACGTTTATATGTTAAGCAAGTAGCTTAACTGATCCAAATCTAAAAACTATAGTTTCATCAAACTGGTAAATTAAATACAATTTTTTAACATGTATTTCAAAATATGTGTTTATAGTGGATCTTTACGTGGTTAGAGGTTTATAAGACCTTAAGGATGGAGAAATGTTTCTTTTCTATATGTATTTTTTTTTTAACAGTGAAATTATATTACACAAATGATCACAGCCCTCACAACCATTCAAATTGTAATATTTGATTTTGTTTTGGAGGTCCGAACCTAAAAACACTGACCCTCTTATTATTAAACTGACTGTTGTTTTTGCAAATCTTCTGCTTCCAAGTATCCAAATAATTTTACAAATCTATTACACATTTGTGTTACATAAGGTCATCTGTATTTGACTCTGCATTGGCCTTCTTTGTTACTTTGATAACCTGTCAGGGACTTAGCGTTTCTTTATAAAAGGGATTTGCTTTTGTGAGAACCTTAATGTCCATGAAAGCCTTACAGAAACTACTTAAAACCAGTAAAGACCAATGGGATTTAACCAGTTAGCATATTACCTGACAGCAGTTAAGTAATAGAGTTAAGCTTACAGATCATTTACTATTCACTATATTGTAAAGCTATGTTTGCACACCTTTCTTTTGTATTGCATGTAGATTACTTTAACAATAGCATGTGCTTAGGTTGAGCTGTAGCGCAATGAAGGCAATGATGAATTTTAAAGGGCCCATGTGACTCTATTTTATGCCATAATGTTGTTTTCTCATCAAAAACATATCTGGAGTTGTACTTTGTTTCATTCACACATGTTTAACACACAGATCTTGTCTATTTAGGCTCAGTTTTTCTCTCAGACATAAAAACACTCTGCTCCATTTTGTGATGTCATATGGTAATACAGGAAGAGCTCCACTGTGTTTTTAACCTCCATAAACGTTCACTAGAATCATTTCCATTTCAAATGAACAAAAAGTAAAAGGTACCTGTTGACTGGAAAACTACTGCTTCATGACATCACAAGGTGGAACAGAGCATTTTGAGCTCTGGAGATGCAGACAGAGTAATAAAACCAGGATTACTTAAACCTGGGTGAAAGAAACAAAACACAACTTCAGGTATGTTTTTTGATAAGGTAATGACATTATAACATGTCTTAAAGCTCACAAGAGTCAATTTTGTGTAATATATGGCCTTTAAAAACAGAGAGGAGCCACACAATTTACTACAATATGACAATATAGGGGGCAATTGTATTAAGAATCAAAGAAATGAAGAGAATCTAAATTAGTGAAATTACTAAAAAGGAGAAAAAAAGCCTATAACTCCAGATGCTGAGTCAGAACAATACAGAGTACAGAGTGAACAATATTTCCTATTTTAATAGATCGTGCAATTAAAAATATAAACATTACTATTTTTAATCAACCAAAAATGTAAGTTGATAACAGAACTTTCATCTTAAAAGAAATCTAAAGTGCATTATGTAACTTTTTGGTTGGGGGTCTCTCACCTGTTTGTTTCTATGGAAATGTCATTGCTCTGCCTCTGCCTGTTCCACAGTATGACATTAAACTGTTCTACCTTACATTTATTCTATTATTTTATTGGTTTTATCTCTCAAAAATACCTTGGAAAAACAGGTGTTCTGAATATGAGCGGGGCTGCCTCTCCACAGATCTGACTTGTAACATGGTCTGGTTTGGTCTCCATGAAGATAGAAAGGTTTAATACCATAGTGTGCAACATTCCAGACAAGGCAATAACATCTCCGCTGAGAAAAACCTTTGATGGTCCCTCCACCAGAAAAATTACACAATGCACCTTTAATCTGATTGATTGAAATTATAGCAATGGCATTTTCAAATATATTTTCCAAAACTTCATACGATCCTTATGCCAGATATTGCAGCGTCACTGTTACAGCATGGGTCAGCTAATAATAGTAGGCTCTGATCTTTTAAGCCTGTACCAGTGCTTAGACCGGGTGCTGTTGGTCAGGCTGAGAGTGCGAGCTTACCTCAGTGCCATCAGTGAACTTGCTATCCTGGGATGCTAAACCAGGTTATTTTAGCAACACATGCTTGTTACTTCTGTGGATGTGTGCAGACTGCGCGTACATTTGGATTACTGTGTTGTGTCCAGTATCCTTTGACGCAAGCTGTAAAAATAAAACTTCACTTAACTCCATGTCCATGTGACCAGTGGGTGCTATATGGTTAATTACCACTACAGGGGTATTGTGTTCAGTTTAGTCTTTTGCTCAAAACAGTGTCACCTCTCCACAGATCTGTAACTTGTGCCATCATGCCAGCATCACTCACTAGATAGATAAGTTTAATGGCCAGCAAAGCAATAACATCTCCATGGAGACACAAACATGCACTCATTATTAGAAAACTATTGGTCAGTTCTAGTTTTCGTGTACCATATTAGACTAATGGCAAATTCTGCCATTTAAATATGAACTCATTTTGAAGTAACATGTTTTTATGTGTTTTTGTTTTCTTTATGGTAGAAATATGATTCCATCAAATCTCGTTGAGGCCACATTTCAACAGGTAAGCCACTAAAGTAATATTTTGGTAATTCATAGTAATTAAATAAAGTATAATATTTACATTGTATGTGTTTTATATACACTTGACTATATCTACACTGCCAGTTAAAAGCTTTTTTTACTACTTTCTACTTTTTAGATACATACAGAAGATATCAAATATATAAAGCAAGGTTTATGATTTATGATTTAAAAAACAAAGGATGGCTACTTTGAAGATTTGAATAATATAAGATATACCTTTTTTTTCTTTGCTACATAATTTTACCTCATAATTTTGATCATGATCATAATCTGATCCTGAGAGCACACCTCAGGGTTGAGCCCTTCGTAAAATTCCCTTTTGGATAAGAAGGGTGGAGGGGACTAGAACAAGTCATATGGCCACGGAATTTTAATTTAGTCTTAATTCCAAATCTTGCATATTTAATAAATTGTATGTAAAATAAAGAAACCTTGAATGAGTGGGTGTGTCCAAATCTTTGACTGGCATTGTATATCTATTGCATTGACGTACAAGACTTAGCTTAGAAATGAATCTTACTTTATATTTATTTCTGTTCCGTATGCATTTGGGAGGAGACTCAAATAAATATATTTTCTTTTCCAGTACCGCACAGACCTTATTCCGATGGTGCAAAACAACGACGTGGAAAACTCTCAGGCCAATTTTGTGTACGTGATGCCGGACTACCACAACCCACAACTGGGACATCCTGTGTTCTTAGAGATCACTCCTGCTCCAGACATCAAATACAAGATGGTCCCCAGCACCAGCAAAGGCATGAACGTACTGGGCATCGTCATCTTCTCTGCCACCATGGGTAAGACAGAAAAAATACTTGACTTTACTGTACACATACATGTACACATACACATACTTGTTACTGAATCAATATTGCTGGGAAAGTGCATGAGATATTGATGAAGGTGCACTGCTTAACATTTCTAGTGGAGAGTCCGCCACCTGCTTGTTTCCATGGAAATGTTAATGCTATGTCCAGAATCCAGAGTTCAGAAGCACTATACAGTGCTACGATACTTTACAATTCAGGTCTGTGGAGAGTCGCCCTTATTCACGGCAGGAATGATTGTGTTTTTGAGCAATAGAAACACCCCTATAATGAGTAAATGCTAGATGAATATGTTTAATGCCATATGGAACCTTCCAGGCA